TTATGCCAATTGAGCTTGATATCCTCTGCGACTATGGTCCCGAGAGAGACCACAGGTTCAACTACTCGGTCCCTCTGGGTAGCTGGCTGTGACCAAGCAGTGACTACAACCTTGCCCCTTGTCAACCCCATTATACACCTTTCCCTGGCCTTTTAAAGGCAAAATTCACCTTCTATTTTGTAGTGTACCTATCTTATCTGCCCTATTGTATTTTAAGCTCCCGAGGACAACAACTGCATTTTTTTAAAACATGGTTGAATTTCAACCATGCCTTCTGAAAATCAATGCTAAGTTACTAAGATTCTTCCAAGCTCGTAAAATTATATTTATGAAACTATACTACTGAACTTTTAAAATAATTTATTTTATTTTTGTTATTGTTGTTGAGAATATAACAGCAGAATACACACCAATTCAACCATTTCTACATGTGCAATTCAGTGACGTTGATTACATTCTTCAAGTTGTGCAACCATTCTCACACTCCTTTCTGAATACTCCTACTTCATTAACATAAACTCGCTGTCCCCTAAGTTTCCTATCTGATCTTTCAAGTTGCTGTTGTCGATTTTATCCTGTATAGTTATTAATGTTTTTAATACACCAATATTGAAAACTACTGTGGTCATGTGATCCAATAGATGAAGTTGTTGGTGTTGGTATGTGCCATCGAGTCAGACCTGACACTTAGTGACCCCTCCTTGGGTTTCTGAGGCAGTATTATTACGGAAGTAAATTGCCCAACCTTCTTTCTGAGGAGTGGCTTGTAGTGATCTTTAAAAAATAAAAGGAGAATGTTCATACATTGTGAAGAATATAACCAATGTCACTGAATAATTTTTTTTCTCACTGAATAATTTTTATAAAAATTGTTGAATGGGAAACTAAACTACTCTGTAAACCTTCACCAAAAACAGAATAAAATATCTTTAAAAAATAGGAGGCATAGATTTGGCAACTGTAGTGAGGGCAGCTGAAATAAAACTCATCTATAAAACAAAGAAAATAAGATGACAATTTTTGACAGAGAGCAGGAGTGCCTAACCTTGGGTCTTTGATCCCACTACCTCTGTAGATGGGATGGGCTTCAAGGCTTCAGTGAACCCTCAACAATTATCTGGGACATGGTACTTGCATGTGCACTTAAAAAGATGTATTGTGGTAAAATATATATCACAAAAACAGACTATTTTAACCATTGTAAGTGTACAATTCAGTAACATTAATTACATTCACAATGTTGTGCAGCCATCACTTGTACATGCATTTTTTAATGGTTGTTTTTTTAAAAATGCATTTTATTGAAATATAATTTATGTATGGTGAAATGCACAAAACTAAAGTGACATGGGTCAATGAGGTTTTTTTTTTTTTTTTTTTTGCGGTGTTCCCTCCCCTCCCCTCCTACCCCTGGTAACCGGCAAAGAAATTTCCCTTCCATATATAAACCTTTCTTTGACTTTTTACAATAATGAACTAATACTATATTTCTCGATCTGTGATTGACTTCTTTCATTCAGCACAATGTCCTCACACTGTGTGAGGACAAGTTCATCCATGTTATGTGGTGTTTTGCAGATTCTACATTATTTAAGGTTGCATAGAATTCTATTGTGTGTATGTACCACAGTTTGGTTATCCATTCTTCTGTTGATGTGCCTGTAGGTTGTTTTCATTTTTTGCTATTGTAAGTAGTGCTGCGATGAACGTAGGTTTGCATATATCTGTTCTTGTTCTCACTCTCACTTCTTCTTCTTCTTCTTCTTTTTTTTTTAAATTGTGATTTGGGTGAAGATTTACAGAGCAAATTCACTCTCCATACAGCAGTTCACATATACTTTGTCTCATG